GAGTTCCTTGTAAGTGTCAACAAGTACGTTGAAGCTCGCAGTCAGAAGCTATCTGTTGGGATGAGGTTTAAGCTGAGATTTGAGGGTGTGGAAGGAGACACAGCACTGGGAATGGCTGTAGGCTGTTCGGAATTAAGTTTCTTGAAAATTCTAATTTAGAAGAGGCTTCTCCTGTGGTTACGGCATCCGGAAAGTTGGGGGATATTATACCTGTTTCATCATTTGATGCCGAATCTGACCGACATTCGGAACCATCAAATCTCAATCGATCTGATCATCCTTCAGGAAGTTGTGATGCCGAGAATTCATGTCTGACAAGTTGTGATGCTGAGAACCCAATGACCCAAATTGAAAATGCCATTACCAAATTATCAAACCTCTTGACAAACTTATCAATTCCTCCTGCCCAGGCTGCTGCTCTCACCGAAATTCCGACTTCCACCGGCCTTCAACTGCTTGCAGTCAAAAGAGAATAAATGATTACAACTGTGAAGAAGCTCAACGACCACCAACCCTATTATCCTCCCCACCACCTCAACGACCACCACCGCCACCACCCGGCCACTATTGCTGCTCATACTCCTCCTCCTCAACCCAACCCTCGGCTCCACCCTTACCACCATGGTTGGATGCTGACTACATCTACGAGACTCCTTTGGCACCTCCAGTCCAGCCTGCCCCAGAGTTTGACTATCACCATCATGATCCAGTTCCAGGCCAACAAGAAACTGCTTTCAACACCAAGGCCAGCAGCAGCATACAGTATCTCCATCCAATTCCGACCGCATCTTATCAGCAATAAACGGATCCAAATCCTGCGTATGGCGTACCGGTTATACAAACACAAACGCCCAAAGCAACAAGGGAGAGATTTTATGCTGCCGCCTCCGCCACTTGGGTCCTGAATTGTGTTCTTCGCTTCGGCATCCGTTTACTTCACTGCTTCAGTCCGTGTTTTTGCATTCGTGAAGTAATCCTGCAGTGGTGGAATATCTCAGTTGAATTGTTGTACAAGGCAGACTAGCAGAATAGCATTTCTGAAAGGGTATGGTATGTCAATTTGTACGTGCACTTGGCATTATACATGTCATAGAAATTAGAAAGCTCGTGCAAAAATATGTATCGTATAATGTTTCGGTCTTGGCAGCAATTCTGTATGTTTTCCTACATGGTAATGGTTACATCGGCAAATTACAGGGAACCGCTCCTCGTAGGATAACATAATCCAAAAAAAAAAAAATGGCAGGATCAACTCAAAAATGAATAATAAAAAACGACGGTCTACACTGGAAACAATATGTACATCTTGAGGACAAAATTTTATAGGATGCTCGTTCCAGGACTTAATCGACAACCACCATCTCTCTCTTGCTCGGAAAATGAAATGCATCCACTTGCAGTCTTCCTGCATGAATCTTTCGAACCCCCTCCTCCCACTTCTAAACTCCCTTTACAAGTATAGGGAAGCTGCAAAGACAATGACCCTCTTGATCTTCGAAACAGCCTCCTCAAATTTTGATTCAAGCTCAGTTTCCCCAACAGACTTAGCTGCTTGTATAAGTTGCTGAAGGACCTCCTCTAATCTCCTAATTGGCCTGATCAAACTGCCTTCAAAGCCAGGTGTAGCTGACATGATCTCGTAGAATTTGGACCCTTCCGCCCATGCATACACAGCCTCCATAATATCAGGCCGAAATGAACCCACAAAGCTGTCAACATCAATTTCGACCTGTAGTGTATATAATACAAAACATTTTAACGGACGGTTAAAATCACCTATACAGCGAGAGTGTAAAGAAATTCAAGCGCATGTTCTACAGAGTTGAGCCAATTTAGACCAGTATAACCAGCAGGACCGATCAATATATGTACACTGAGAAATGACCATAGAAATTTGTACAAAAATGCAACTCTTACCACATATTTGTACCCTCTCTCTAACAGAGATAGGACCCACATGCGTTGGCATGCCCTACCTCTATTAGAGAGATGGTGCAAATGAAGCAACTCTTGCCCTACCATTTCATTTAGTCTATGCGTCGGAATCTCTTGGTGGTAATGATACTTTACAATGAATCGAATCTGAGCTTCTAACTAAATTTTACTGCAGAATATGCATGCATACCATATTGTTTGAATGTCTTTAGAAAATTTGAACTCATTCTACTTTTAAGGTGTTAAAGACGAATCTCTGGTAGAATGATGATATACAAGCTGATCACAGAAGCTTGTAGAATAAATATTCAACTGTACCAGAAAGGAAGCCAGTCTTTTACCTTGCACTCAAGCTGAACATCAGCAACCCTCCGAGCTGGATCTTGTAATTGTGAAAATAGCAGGTCAAGCTCTTCCCTTGGTTTTATAGCTTCCTTAAGCTTCTCCTGCCACACAAAACATGAGAGAAGAGAAACCATCTCTTCCACTTTTATGTCCTTGAAAGCCCCATTGAACATGAGCTCAGTCAGGGTCAACTCCTCTGCACTACTGATTTCACAAGCAACTTTACCCTTCAATTCCACAACATCATCCTTCGTAACATTGCATTTCAATCCACTCAAATTATTTTAGTATTTATATCTAAGGCATCAAAGTGATGGAATTCCTCGTTTAAAAGCAAAAAATTAAAAAAGAACTTTATGGTTACAATAGAAAATGAGGGACGAGAATTCATTACCCTAGCCTCCGAAGGACCCGTTTTCTTGCCTTCAGTTCATCTTTAAAAGCCAATGCAGTGGAAGAGCACATTGTTTTCTTAATTGATTTGATCTTGGCGGCCAAATCCTGCTTCATATGAAAAACCTTGAGCTTTTGCTCTATAAGTGGAGTTCTTGCAACTTCATGCCTGTCAAACAGGTTCTCTAAAGCCTCCATCCTACGAGACACCCTTTTTGTATGAACTACTTTCAATCTGAAGAACGGAAAATCCAGTTGAAATTAGTAACACAGAATTTTAAAAAGAAAATAATAAGAGAAAAACTAAAAGTTAAATTGCACTACTGCAGTAGCATACCTTCATATCTTCTTCGGGATCGAGTAAGGGAATCTTTCCTTTATCAAATCTTGACAGAGTTTCAACAACTCTCTTCAGTGTGTTTTCTTGAGCTGGTAGTGGCAAAAGATCCTTAGGAACGACCATACAAAGTTCACTCATACTATTTATCTGTTCAGAAAATATAAGTCAGCAAAATAACAAGCTTTTGGGTAAGTGATGAACAAAATTAATACTCTGCATAGTACAGAATTGAAAATGACCCCTTAAAGAATTGCCATAATGACTCGTATACAAATTTAAATCTTATCAAAAATAGCAGCAGAAATTTGCAGAGAATATTAATAAGGTCACTTTGCCCCGTGAATCACTGCGTCAGAAACATGAGGAACATTGGTTACAGTTACATAACCAATATAAATCATCAGCATTCAGTACATCATCAGAGTTCAGATGAGGTTCCAAAGCATCAGGCATTTTACCTGAGATATGGAAATGGAGACAACAGCAGGTTCTCCTGGCTCTTTCAGAGGGATAATTTTGATGGTTTTCTTTGCAACTTCACTTGGACTCACCCCACATCTTGTCAGAACATCCACCGTGTGGTTTGCATCTTCGGGTTTTCTACTTGCATCATCTGGACAACAGAATGAGTTGTTTAGCAACCTGAAAAATCAAATCAGAATAAAGACTCTAAGCAATTGAGTGTCCTAACCTTCTGAAACAGTTTTCACCCGTTGAAAATTAAGTATCACTCCCCATGTGACTGGGTCGTCAAAGGAAAAAGAAGAACTTTCATCACTTTTAGCACATTGGATTGAGACAAGCCTGCCAGGTTTCAGAAATGGTAAGCAGTACTTTGGAGTTTTACCCTTCTTTTTGTTAAATCCACCCAATCTTCAAAAAAATAATAATAATAAAATAAAAATAAAAAATAAAAAATCTCACAACTGATAACACCAGAAAATCAAAGAATTCAAGAAGCTTGAGAAAGAAAGGTTTTAGAGAGAGAAAGAAGATAAGCAGCGGAAAAGAAAGAGGCAACTGAATTGAATTAGAATTGTAAACGTTTGTACAGTAGCTTTTATAACACTCCTCTAACTGATTTGCCTATGTGGCACTCCTCTACATTATATCCTAACCAATCAATACTTAACACTTGTACTTCCGTTATTATCCCCCCTCAATTGCAGCCAGGAACACCAAGGCTGAGATTGATGCAGTGCTTAACAAACACAGGACAATGAAGTCCTTTAGTAAGAATGTCTGCAACTTGATTGTCTATGGAGATATAGTGCACCACGATATCTTTCTTCTGCACCCGTTCACGAACAAAATGATAATCAATATCAAGATGTTTAATCCTGGAATGGAAGACAGGATTGGTGCTAAGAGATAGTGCTGAGATACTATCACAGTGTAAATCAGGAGGAGCAGGTAAGAACTGATGGAGATCTTTCATAAGGGACCGTATCTAACACACATCAGCTGCACAATTAGCTAGAGCTTTATACTCAGCTTCTGTGGAGCTTCGAGACACAGATGATTGCTTCTTGGATTGCCACGAAACAGGATTAGAACCAAGGAAGACTACATAACCAGTGACTGACCTCCTGGTGTTGATATCAAAAGCCCAATCAGCATCGGAATAGGCAGAAATGTGAATATCAGTACCTGATCGATAGGTAATTCCACACAGTAGAGTCCCTTGAAGATATCTGAGTATCCGTTTGACTAGGAACATGTGTGCATCAGTTGGAGTTGTCATATATTGACACACAACATTGACAGAATGAGCAATATCAGGCCTGGTGAAGGTCAAATACTGAAGTGCTCTAACAATACTGCGATAGGTACTTGGATCAGACAAAGGTTGCCCCACATATAAAAGTAACTGAGTATGAGGCTTTGAGGGTGTTGGTGCAGGCCTACAATTCTCCATTCCTGCTCTTTTGATAAGCTCGTGTGCATATTTAGTCTGACTAAGAAACATATCTCCATTGCCTTTATACTAAATATGCAGCCCTAAGAAGTATGTGAGCTTTCCCATGTCCTTTAAATCAAATATTTCACTGAGAGCAGTAATCACACCCTGAACTTTGATGATATTCGAACCTGTAAGTATTATATCATCTACATATAGGAGTTACATAATAACATCCTCACCATCTGTCTTAACAAAGAGGCTAGTGTCAGACTGAGAAACAGTGAATTCCATCGAAGGTAACACACCTGTGAACTTAGCATTCCAGGCTCGTGGAGCCTGCTTAAGTCCATACAAGGATTTAACAAGTTTGCAAACATGGTTTGGTAATTTGGAATTGACGAACCCCTGCGGTTGCTTCATGTATATTTCTTACTGCAACTCACCATGCAGGAATGCATTTTTGATGTTAAGTTGGCGAAGTTCCCATTTGTGACTCATAGCAAGTGCAAGAATTAAACGCACTGTAGTGTGTCGCACCGCTGGACTAAACGTCTCGGAGTAATCCAGACCATGTTCCTGTGTATAACCTTGAGCCACTAAACGTGCCTTGTATCGAGATATACTACCATCATGATTCTTTTTCAATTTGTATACCTATTTGCTCCCAATAATAGTTCTATTATGAGGATGAGGTACAAGAACCCAAGTCCCTTGCCCTTTAAGAGCATCAAACTCATCTTGCATAGCTTGCTGCCAATTTGAATTTGTAGCTACGACTTTAAAAGTCTTTGGTTCTTCACAATCAACACTCTCAGCCAGAAAAGAAAATCCATCAGAACACAGAGATCCATTATCAACTCCCAATGACTGTAATTCAGGTAAGCTAGCATAAAAAGCAGTATAATCTCTCCTCTCAATTGCTCCAGTTTGAAGTCTTGTTGTCATAGAATGTGTTCTAGACGTATTAGCAGGAATGGAACTAGAGGATTGATTCCAATCACTCACAGAGATAGGAGGTAATACCTGAGGATGTGCTGGACCTAAGACAGGTGACAAAGGTTGCTGGAGATCTTGTATAGGAGATGAGCTTAATGACTCAGATTCCTGTGTTCCATATTCCTGCCTTTATAACTGAACTGGCTCTGGAGATATACTGTCATGTTCACTTGAAGCTCTGAAAGGAACCAGAATTGGAGTAAAGTTGACCGAGAATGGTACAGATTGACTACTCAACATCACAGAGGGTTTACATTTTGTAGGAAACACAGACTCATCATGAATAACATGCCTACATAAGACCAACTTCTGTGTCTGCAAGTTGTAACAGATAGCCCCTTTGTAACCTGAAGTATATCCTAAGAATATACACATGGAGGATCTAGTTTGAATTTTACTGTCATTATAATGTCTCAAGTATGGAAACACAGCTGAGCCATATATTTTCAACTCCTTCAAAGATGGATGCTTATCATACAAACCAAAATAAGGTGAATTCATTTGTAAGGACTTAGAAGCCATTCTGTTTATTAAGTACACAACATGTGCATAAGACAGATACCAAAACTCCTGTGACAACCCAGCAACATTCATCAAAGTTATTGCTATTTCAACCACATGTTTGTGCCTTCTTTCAACCAATCCATTTTGTTGTGAAGTGTATGGGTAGGAAATTCTATGAACCATTCCTTTGGACTGCATAAATTCTTTAAATGAATGACTGACAAACTCACCACCCCCATCTGATTGTAAGCACTTTATTTGGGCTCCAAATTGAACCTCAATATTCTTGTAAAACTTGACAAATATCAAAAACACCTCTGATTTATTATATAGTGAAAAATCCACATGTATCTTGTACAATCATCAACAAATACAACATAGAATCTATACCCTTCTATAGACTTAACTGAAGAGGGTCCCCAAACATCGGAAAGGATTCTATCAAAAGGTAAGATACATCTAGATAACTCATTATCAAAAGGTTTGCGAGTAATCTTCCCATGAATACAATTTGTGCACATGGTATGCTTATTATCCGTAGAGACTGGAATCTGAGACTTAGCTAACATAACTGCCATGACTTCATTTGTAGGATGCCCTAGCCGTTGGTGCCAGAGAGAAGACTTGATCAACTGTCCAATAAAAGCCTTTGGAACTGTCCATGAAGACACAGGAATCTGGAACAACTCGTGAGGTCTACTCCTTCCTTTGTACAAGATCTCCCTTGTCACCTTGTCCTGCACAAAGAAATTGATGTCATCACAGATAACCCAGCATCTGTTATCTTTACACAGCTGCTTTACAGACATTAGATTCACACCAAGAGATGGAACATGCAGCACATTTTTCATTATAATAGAATGAGAATGTGTTTTAATACTTGCAGAACCAGTATTCTGAATTGGCAAACCTTGACCATTGCCAATTTTAATTTTCTCTGAACCTTCAAAAGAAGAAACTTGGTGTAAGCTAGCAAGATCAGATGTCATGTGGTGTGATGCTCCTGTATCCACAATCCAATTTGCAGCATTGGAATATGATGGTGAACTCTGAACATTCATCCCTTGCACTGCAGGTTGGACTTGATATGAAAGATCAGGTTCATGTATGTTCTGTGGACCATTCATCCTTTGCATAAAAGGTGCATGCCCCTGATATGAATAATGAGCAGCAAAATTCGGAGGCTATGGAACAAAACCCTGTGATGGAGGAATCACTGAAGAATGACCAGGAAATGTAGGTCCAAGAGAAGCAGGAGGCCCAGAGGGTTGGTAGGAGTAATTTCCCCTATGATAACATTCCAGAGCACTATGTCCCATTTTTCCACAAATCTGACATTCAGTATTGAAATGTGGTGAAGTACTCTGCACAGTTCTATAAAAACAATTCGGAGCAGTATGCCCTTGACACTCTCGATGTAATGTAGTTCTAGACTCAACATTTCCATTCCAACCACTATTATTCCTGTAATTCGACCCTTTACCTTTGAAGCCTGATCGATAAGTACCATTTCCCCTTGACTGTCCTCCACTGTAAAACCTTTGTTGACATCCAGGAAACGGCGCTGAAGATTGATGTTGCCTTGAATTGTCTTGTGGATGCTGCTCCAAGTGACCAACACACCCACCACCTGAGCCGTAAGAACTTTGATTAGAACCATACTCAGGTTGCATCATTTGAGACTGTGGAAAGAATGACATTTGTTGTGGCAGTGGAGTAGCAATAAGAACACCTCCAGTACTAGACGGTTCATTTGCAGACGAATTAGAACTGGATGCACCATTAGTATACAAAGCAGAACTTGAACCACCATTATTTCCTTGCACATACAAACCAGCCATATTATGAGTCAATGAATTCATTACCACATCATTTTCCCTTTCAACACCAATTAACAGTGCCCTAAACTCCTTCATAGTGACATTAGAGTCCCTCGCAAGTATAACCGTCCTAATAGTTGCATACTCTCTGGGTAACCCAGCAAGAGCAGCAATCATCACATCATTATCTTATACATATTCCCCTGCAGCCATCAATTGATCCCTAACTATCTTGATTCGTAACAGATATTTATCCATTGAATCCCCACCTTTTTGAACTGTATATAATTCTGTTTTCAAGTGATTAATACCTGTCCTAGACACAGATGCAAACCTTTCCTCAAGATTTGTCCAAGCTTCAGCAGCAGTCTTACACCCTATAACATATTCTATCGCATCATCAGTCAATGTTGCTATCAACAAACTTAATAGAGATAAATCCGTGGTCTCCCAATCTTGAAAGGCATCGGTCAATTCTTTAGTAACCCCACTTTCTGCACTAACCACAAACTTCGATGGACAAGGAACTGACCCATCAAAATGATCAAACAGTTTGTACCCTTTTAACACAGACTTGAATTGAAATGACCATTTAGTGTAATTGTGCTCACCAAGACGAATAGTTAGCATGCCCAACAATCCCTCAATTTTCACAGAGGGAGCCATACCAAATATAGTTCAAGAATCAACCTTTTAACAATTCTTTGAATAATTCTCAGAAAAACACAACAATTTTCTGGACCTAGATCCCTGACTAACTCAACTTTCTTGAATCAATGGCATTGGCCTTTAGACTCCTTCTTAGCACAAAGTAATGGCATTGGCCTTCTCAACTACCCAGTGCTCAACAACTAATCTAATAATGGCTTTGGCCTCTACAACTTCATCTTCGCAAATCAAACAAACTGACGAAACACAAACTACTCAAAAAAAAAAAACACCAGAATCGCCCACAAAACCATTTCAAGAGAATGGGAAAAACAAAGAAACACTACACAGCACCGGAAATTCCTGCTTCGCCCTGATTGCATATAGACAGCCCCAAATCGCCAAGAAAAATACTCCAAATCACCAGACAGATTTGCAGACCATCACGCTTCCATTACTGACTTCGACGAGCACACACCCACGCACAATCGCTGGCTCTTGATACCATGATAACACCAGAAAATCAAAGAATTCAAGAAGCTTGAGAAAGAAAGGTTTTAGAGAGAGAAAGAAGATAAGCAGCGGAAAAGAAAGAGGCAACTGAATTGAATTAGAATTGTAAACGTTTGTACAATAGCTTTTATAACACTCCTCTAACTGATTTGCCTATATGGCACTCCTCTACATTATATCCTAACAAATCAATACTCAACACTTGTACTTTCGTTATTAACAACCAACCACCCTATCAAAGTATGAAACTTCGAACTTCGAATCATCTGAACCTTTGGAGAGGCAATAAGAGCATTGCATGTAGATCTGGCATTCGTGTCGTGTTTCTCGTGTTCGTGTCGTTTTCGTGTCATACCCGATAACTTAACGGGTCGTGTCGTGTAATACATGTTAAAGTAAACAGGTAATATGACCCGACCCAAAATCAACCGTTAATATTATCAGGTAATATGACCCGACCCGTTACCCGTTAAGAAAATTATATTTTAAATCAATAAAAATGAAAAGAAAAACATAATTTGACCCAAAAAAATGTAAAACATAATACTAAATTAGTATATACATACTAAATTTCGGAGTTGACCCCTTAATGAACGTTGTAAATTTTTTCATTACGTGTGATTACATTTTTCACACTTATTATTATTAATTTTTCACTCAAATAAATAACATTGTTCATGAGATTTTTAAAAATCTACACTTATTTATACTTTCATCAAGTATAACATAAGATTTTATGGTATCCACTAGTGTAAATATTTTAAATTGAAGATCGAATTCATTCATTGTATTCATTTAGGGTCAAGGAGTGTACTTGTAAAAAATCATCAAAATCGGAGTTACAATAACCGTTAAATCGTGATTTTTCGTTTATAACCATCGAAAAGTTTTGTCTCATTACTTGATCTCTAAATGTTTGTTTTTTGCAATTTTTGGCGTATGCGATCTCGAAGCATATGTAAACAAGTTTGACGGTTGGATCGTTGAAATTAGTTTCTAGGATGCATATCACATCAAAACGATAAATTCACTAACACTTGAGAGTTTATTTATACTTTCATCAAGTATAACATAAGATTTTGTGGTATCCACTAGTGTAAATATTTTAAATTAAAGATCGAATTCATTCATTGTATTTGTTTAGGGTCAAGGAGTGTAGCTGTAAAAAATCATCAAAATCAGAGTTAAAATAACCGTTAAATCGTGATTTTTCGTTTATAATCATCGAAAAGTTTTGTCTCATTACTTGATCTCTGAATGTTTGTTTTTTGCAATTTTTGGTGTATGCGATCTCGAAGCATATATAAACAAGTTTGACGGTTGGATCATTGAAATTAGTTTCGTAGGATGCTTATCACATCAAAACGATAGATTCACTAACACTTAAGAGTTTATTTATACTTTCATCAAGTATAACATAAGATTTTGTGGTATCCACTAGTGTAAATATTTTAAATTGAAGATCGAATCCATTCATTGTATTTGTTTAGGTTCAAGGAGTATAGTTGTAAAAAATCATCAAAATCGGAGTTAAAATAACCGTTAAATCGTGATTTTTTGTTTATAACCGTCGAAAAGTTTTGTCTTATTACTTGATCTCTGAATGTTTTTTTTTTTTGCAATATTTGGTGTATGCGATCTTGAAGCATATATAAACAAGTTTGACGGTTGGATCGTTGAAATTAGTTTCTAAGATGTGTATCCCATCAAAACAATAGATTCACTAACACTTAAGAGTTTATTTATACTTTCATCAAGTATAACATAAGATTTTGTATTATCCACTAGTGTAAATATTTTAAATTGAAGATCGAATTCATTCATTGTATTTATATAAGGTCTAGGAGTGTACCTGTAAAATATCATCAAAATCGGAGTTATAATAACCGTTAAATCGTGATTTTTCGTTTATAACCGTCGAAAAGTTTTGTCCCGTTACTTGATCTTTGAATGTTTTTTTTTTTTTTTTGCAATTTTTGGTGTATGTGATCTCGAATCATGTATAAACAAATTTGACGGTTGGATCATTAACATTAGTTTCATAGGATGCGTATCCCATCAAAACGATACATTAACTAACACTTAAGAGTTTATTTATACTTTCATTAAGTATAGCATAAGATTTGTGGTATACACTAGTGTAAATATTTTAAATTGAAGATCGAATTCATTCATTGTATTCATATAAGGTCAAGGAGTGTAGCTGTAAAAAGTCATCAAAATCGGAGTTAAAATAACCGTTAAATCGTGATTTTTCGTTTACAACCGTTGAAAAGTTTTGTCTCATTACTTCATCTCTGAATGTTTTTTTTTGCAATTTTTGGAGTATGCGATCTCGAAGCATGTATAAACAAGTTTGACGGTTGGATTGTTGAAATTAGTTTTGTAAGATACTTATCCCGTCAAAACGATAAATTCACTAACACTTAAGAGTTTATTCATACTGTCATCATTTTGATGGGATACGCATTGATGTTATACTTAATGAAAGTATAAATAAACTTTAAGCGTTAGTGAATCTTATCGTTTTGATGACTTGGAATAAATATATTAATTATTTATATATTTTAAGTGTTAATTAGACTATGTTTCAATTAGTATGTGATGATATTTAATAATAAAATTACATTTATGTTTTTTTATTACGTATTTTATTTTTATTCAAGTTAAAATGTTATAAGAGATAAAAAAAAAAAAAGCTGGTTACTTTTTTTCTTTGGGTTAAACATTAGGTGGGAAATGGATGGATATAGGTTGCAAAATTTCCTAAACATTATGTAGGAAATGGATGAAACTCTTGAAATATTAGGCGGGAAATTAATTATTATAATTTTTTTATGTTTTTGGTATTTTTAAATTACTTGACATTTTTATTTTTAATGTGTTTTATGATTTTTAATCTCAATCTTTGCCTATAATATATTATAAAAATAAATAAATAAATAAAACTTAAATTTTAAAATTTATATAAAATAATAATAGAATAATAATTAATAAACAATATATACATATTCATTATATCTATTGCATTTTATAGTAAATTTTTTTTAGTAGTTTAAAAAATTAAAATCATCAAAATAACATTTTTCTTATCGTGTCGAAACAGGTTACCCGCGTGTCACTTTTGTGTAAACCTGTTAAGGACCCGTTATTAACGGGTTATTATCGTGTGACCCGATAATGACCCGATTAGTTATCGTGTTGACCCGAAACCCGTTATTTTCGTGCCGTTTACGTGTCGTGTTAACGGGTCGTGTAATAAATTGCCAGGTCTAATTGCATGTACCCTGTTTTCTAAGGAGCTTTTTCTGCAGGTTTCTAGAAACTGTATTAGGAGTTCATTCCTAGCTAATTGCTTTTGATAATGATCTTGAAATTAAAATCATATCCTATTATCCAGGTTTCACGCTACTGTATTAGGGTTTTGTTTTTATTTTGTACTTTTTCATCTGGATAATAAGAGCCTTGTACTTCATATATAAGAGCCTTGGAACTGCACCGAAAACATGGAACCAATATAATAAGAACAGGGTTTCACAACTAACTGATAACGAGAACACAGTGTGGTAAATGACAGATTACGAGACTTCCTTAAAACTAAAAACTGAAGGTCTCGGATTTGAAACCCGCTGCAGGTGTGGAAGCCAAACTTGTGGCCAGGGAGAGGAGGAAAGGATGGATAACCGTGGCTTGCCACCAGTTATCCCCCTTTGAATAAAAAAGAGAGAACACAGTTTCACAACCTACATCCGTAAACAGGCTAAATTTGTAATAAGTTACATTCTTCCTTGTGGACAGACTTCTAACAACTCTTAGAGATGAATCTCCAGGGGCTAACCTATTGCTTTTATGATTAGTTCTTCTAATGACGTCGTTTGTGATCACGAGATCTATGACCTGCATGGTGCCTCTTGTGTTTCCTTACAGATTCTCTGTCACCATCGGATGAATCTGTGGCATCATCCAAGCCACTCGAGTGTCTCCTGTGGCTTGATTGGCTGCTACCCTGCCGTGGCCTGTTATCACTGTCAAGCTTGCGATCCTTGTTTCTAGACTTTCTCCTTGATTTTCCATGTTCGGAATGAGTTACCCTGTCAGATTTTTCGTCTTTTTCTCGGCCAATTTTACCGTAGTAGTAGAGTTCCGAATCAAAATCACTTGATTCATCCCTTCCCTTAGATGGACCTGGCCTGCCAGAATCGCAACTCTCTGAACTTCCAGCCTTTCTTTTAGAAGTATGGTATATCCCATTCTCAACGGAACTATTTTCGGGTTCCCAGCGATCCTCTTTGTCCGTGAGTACATCAGAGTTGAATCTTATATCATCCGGACCCACACTGCTGGACTCATGGGTTCCACGTGATTTCAAATTTTCAACTAGAGAATCAGCTTCCCTCATCTCTATGCTCAAACGATCACGCCTATGTTTCATATCTAGTGTTGGGACTCTATCATCATCTGAAATATCTGACACTTCATCCAAGCGTTTTGATCGTTTCCTAGCATGACAAGGGGGCCTTTCTGCATTGTTTTCTAACAGATCATCACTTAAGTCAGTACTATAGGACCTGGTGGTTCTTCCCCCGTGATTTGAGAATTTAGAAGCTTTGCTGGAGTATGACGAGGGTCCCATGCTTTTCCTCCCACTGTGATGCTCATCACCTCTCATGTTGCTGTCTGACCGCTCTCCATCAGTATCATGAGCTCTGTTATTGATGTCCTTATGATCACCCCGACATCTCACTTTCCTCTTTTGCCCAGAATGTCTCCCATTGTCATGGTATGCAGCATCTTTGTCTCTGTCCCTATCTGACCAGTCCCAATTCACTTCATGATTTTTGTTCTCCCGATCCCTATATTCATCCGGGGATTCTACTTTCCGCTGTTGGCTTGAGCTTTTCCTGGTACCATGCTGTGCTATTCTGTTCCGTTGCGACAAATCCCCATCAGATTCAGTTTCATAGGTTTTATTCATATGGTCCCTGTTTTGCTGTCTTGAGCTATGCCTAGTATGTCCACGGTGTCTGTCTCTATCTATTTCCCTCTCCAACAATTCTCCATCAGATTCAGTATCCCACTTTCTGCTCCTCCTAGGGTTGTAGTTTCTTAAGTTCTTGTTCTCTTCACACAGATCCTCATCACCTGTACGCTTCTGACGGCATGTTCCCTCTAGAACATTATTTTCATTGTCATATCTTCTACCATAATCACTGTCCCTCCCTCTAGAACTAGATCTTCGCAAGCCGTACCTGCCATGAATCTGGAAACTATGAGAACCTATCTATAAGCAAAAACCGAAGAAAAATGCAAGCTAATATAGAAGAGTTGAATGATATAGACCAACAAAAATAAGGAGCACTAAATCTAACACCTAACAGAAAACTACGCCCTCATAGAAATTCTTAATACATAAAATAATTAAATCAGGAGATCATAGATTATACAAACTTCACCCAAATTAAAATATCGCACTTCAAGCACCTGGAAAAATTTAGCACAACAAAATAATTCCTGAATGTGGGCAGTTGTGGTGTCATGTTACCATCACCCGCTGCCTTCTACCAAAACTATTTACTTGCCTCAGATTTATAATTGCATATAGTTGGAACAAGACACATGTATATATATATATATATGGTATTTTTATGCTATGTAAATACAGGCATGACAACAAGACAAAATTACTAGAATGCAAACTCTCACATGCAACGTCTGTCTTTCTAGCTATTTTGCATGGAATTCAACGTAAACTGGTAGGTTGCAGTTGTAGGGACTTGAATGAAAAATACCCAATCTAATACCATGATAAGTTGTGCTGGTAGAACGCAGGCCAACTATTATTTTAGATTCCAACAGCTACAGTAACACAGATCTCACAAGTACTATAGACAACACATTCAACAGCTGCTGCTTAAAGTAAAGCATACCTCTCAGAATCTCCCAATGACATCTTGCTAGTGTTCCTCCACTGTCCAATATTTTCTTCCACCATTGGTTTATCATCCGCATCAGAATAACCAAATAAAGCAACCATTTTTCTCGCCCAAAATTTTGGGGGTGGTCTGTCACTATCAGCCCATTCATAGTCTCCACCAGGATTGCGGAAACAGTGGATAAAATTGCAGGCTGTACCACGGGAACATGTCTGCAACATTAAACAAGAATGATTATCAACAAGAGAATCCTCAGACTTCAAGGTTAGAATTGACATATTAAAGCCAAAACTTAGTTTATTACTCCAAAACAAAATTCTGTAAAATCTTATTCAATTTGAAAAGTACAAAGTACAACAAAAAAATTGAACACCAACACAGAGGGCTGGTTTGGTATTGCTATGCTTTGAAAAAAAAACTGCTTCTGCTGTGCTGTGAGAATAAGCTCATTTTTGCTGCTTCATGTTTTCAGCTTTTTCACCCAAAAATGTGAAAATAAGTTGTTTTTAAGTGTTTACCAAACACCTTTTTTAGCTCAACTTTTTTTGATACCTACTTTTTATAAAAGCACCTCAATACCAAACCAGTATAGAGTATGACTAAAAAAGATAATGGGAAATGAAGGAACTGACAATACCTTGTACCTCGACTTCATATATTCCCCACATATGGCAACCTTCCATCTGGTCACATTGATAAATTCACAACTTATCTGCCAAAAACAACAACTAGGTCAACAAACCACCCCTCAAGATAGCGATGCCAAGAATGCAGAGAATTAAGCATTTACGGAAGTGAAATATAATAATGAGATTCAAGAAAGAAAGGGATATCCCAAAAATGTTTAGTCAAATAGCAGGCAGGGAAGTTAGTTAAACTGATAGCCAGCTGCAATTAGAAGAAATTATACAACTCGTAAAGATATCAATTAAATTAAACTTCAAGGTAGGCAGAGATATGACAGGGGTGCTTTTGCATGAAACTACCAACATGCAAACAACCAATAGGGTAGCAAAAACGAAAATTTTCCTCATCACACCCCATAAGCACTCATTCAAATACAAAGAAAGTGCAACACCTGTTTCCCAGCAAAGTAGCGGCCATTAACAGATTGATAAGCAACAACAGCTGAATCCAGTGATTTGTAGTGTATGTACACATTTCCCCGCAAGTGGAATGCACCATTTCTGCAAACCTGACACAGATACTCCATGTGTCACTGTAAAATTTACCAACCGAAAATTTGTATGGCATGAATAGGAAAGTAACAAGACAAAGTCCAGAATTTCAGTCCATTGCCCCTTTACTTTTGAAAACAGATGAAGTATTTTGGTAATCACAAAGAAGCTGTCAGAAACCTTGAAATTTATAATTTCTCCAAACTTCAAGAATTCCGTATGCACATCCTCATAAAATTCTTCAAAGCAGCGCTCCACCTCCTCATCAGTATACTGAAAAGAGGGAAGCAATATGAAACCAGGAAAATTATATCATCAGCATATAATAAAATAGAAAGACGCAACTGGCCTGTCCCAATATTAAATTTTGTCAAGATATAAAACAGGTGAGCCATACATCCTCCACCAAAACAACATGGAAACATCAGCGTGTTCAGAGAGGTATGGCAACTGTTTAAAGACACTAAGAATGACTGTTTAAAAAAAAGAACAATATTGCAACTTTGCATTATAAAAAGGTGTAATTGACTTGTATATCAACGTTGATGAGTTCAAGTTCACTCACTAAAGCATATGTCACCATCAAAGATATAGAAGCAAAATCCATCCGGTACCTTAAATAGTTATTTTAAAAGAATTATAGGGACAAACTAGAACTGCCTTAATTTGTTGTCAAGGTTCTAACTTGTAGCGTATGTCAACTAACAAAAAATAGCATCGTACATGCAAATATATACCTAAAGATAAATGAAGGAAAACATAACACAACATGGTGACACTCAAAGATCTACCTGATACAATAGAATCTTAGAGAAAAACTGTAAACGGAAAATTGGTAACTATATCATCAAAATAAGAAAAGTTTTCCATTTCTAACCAAACATTCTGCCAACAAGAAAAGCTATTATATAATTTATACCTATTTTTTTGCTGTGAAAAGAAAGAATTTTATCGAACAAAAATTTACAATTAGTTAACAAGAAGCACACCAGCAGCCAGAAACAAAAGGCAATTAACAGAGATGTATGGCAACCACATAAAAAACTATGATTGTCAGTTCAATAAAGATCATAATGATACAAACTCCAACTGAATTATTTATGTTCTTCAGATTCTGATTGTGGAAAAGATAAGCAACTCAATTTTCATAAAAGATTCTTTGTTATTTTCATTTCATTTGCCTTTGACATGTTTAGAGTGGAAGAAGAGTTAACCGCATTCAGATAATTCTAAAAGTTGTAGCCAACCATCACAAACTGTGGGATGTAAGATGTGATGTCAGACAGCTTTAACACCTCCCACAACAGATATATAGCCCAACAAACTACGAGTTGTTAAGGAAGAAAACTTGTAGGATTACTACAGTAAACTCATGAACTTAATATACAATTGAACACATAGAAGAAAAAAAAAACAAATCTCAATACGGACACTGAAGCATAATATATATGTTGCCCAACAAACTACGAGTTGTTAATGAAGAAAACTTGCAGGATTACTACAGTAAACTCATGAACTTATTATACAATTGAACGCAGAAGAAAAAATACAAATCTCAGTATGGACACTGAAGCATAATATCTCTCACTGGCATAAAATAAAAGAAAATTCATGATGAAAGACAACCATAACATCCCTTAAAAAATACATATTTTCTTGTAACTCAGCTTTCTTTTAATTGATAAAACGTTATGTTTGCAATTAGAATAAAAGTTCCAAAGCATGAGACCACATGTGTAGAGATACACGTCAACACACACTTGGTTAATATAGGTCTAAAGAAGAAATAAATAGGGAAGAAAACTTATGCCATAAATGTTAATAAGAATAAGAAAACAAGGGATACGTTATGTGGTAACAAGTTACTATTGCCAGCAAGGAAGGATACACTATTGGGGTATCTTTGATTCCAACTGAACCAAGGCCGAAAGCTTGAATCCCCACCAAAGCGAATATCGCAAATGAATCTCTGATCAATCAAGTCAAAGAAGAAGAGTACCATTTCACAAATGAACAGAATAAAAAAATGAACTAAGCCACATTCCTGAACTAGGACACATGGTATGCAATCAAATGCAAAACCTCAAACAAATAACAGCTCAAAAAAATGACACAATAATTTATGATGATTGATGCCTGAAAACAACCACAAACGACGGGAAAAAAAGGTTCATTTGATGTCGGATATGCCTACTTAACATAGTAGGATTAGGAACAATAAACCAAAGGTTTCACAGATTAGAGAAGGATATGAAGACACCCAAAGTCAGAAATAGGATACAAGAATCACAGGAAGGCATGACAGCATTAACAGACCTCGAGCCCCTCATCCTGCTCCCAAGCAAGGCCTGGACCATTGTACATGTTCTTGATAAGCAGTGTGGAAGATTTATCAGGACAGAAATGGACTCTGCTACAACGCTGACCAAACCGACAAGCTCCAGTTTTCAAATGGAAAGGGCAATGAGCTTTATCCTGTCATATATAAAAGTACATAACTTAAGGATTATAGACAGTGATCTTCACTGCTGATCAAAATAGCAGCATCAACACATGAAATATAAGAAGTATTGACTAAAGAGTTATCAACACATAAATGGGTAATAAGGGCAATAATGAGACGACAGAGGAATACCTGCTCAGTTCCAAAATGTGGCACTTGTTGAGCAACACTCTCGATCAGCTGCTGTGCTGACATTGATGAACTTTTATAATCTGAAAAAGCTTCAGATTGTGGAGGGAGAGGATTTGATGTAGGCCTATCAGAATCCTGTGAAACAAATGACAACCTCTACGATTAAACTCATCGGTAAAACCAAAAATGAAACTTATCTGTAGGATAATCTATCCTACAATATATCTAAACAAAGTTCCAGATTCATGTTGCACACCTTCTTTCTACTTTCTTGGTCTGTGTTTTTCTTAGGAATCTTGACCCTTTTCTTCTTGAGAATGATCTCATTTCCTTGCCAGATGATTTCAGCAGGTCCTTCTTCATAGTCCCACTCATCAACCTCATTACCGTCATTTGCATTTTCGACCTGCCATATGTACCCCAAGCAATAGTGAAAATCCATTTTTAAGGCAATAAGTATATTTCCTCCCAAACAATTTCCAAACCAAAAGAAATTTGAACCATAATGCTAAGAAGGAGTTGATATGCCCTGTAAATAGCATTTTAAACTGTCCTACTTCAAGCAGACAATGCATATACCTTACCCGTCAAATATAGCAGAAGGGCTGACCAAACATTAACAACCTTCATTTCACAAACACTATACTTTTGTTTCCAAATCAAAGACCACGCCTCTTACCACGGGCATGAAGCTATCATATCAACTGACAACATAAGCATCTTGCACCCATATAAAAGGACCACTACTCCACAAAACAGGCGTACAAATGATGCTATCTTCACTAAACAACTTAACCAAAAATAAACAAAAGGAAATCGTACATGTAACATAATTAAAGCACTGGTACGAAAAGGATAATTAGAATCCAGAAAGCAAATGACAACTAAATAACTAATATATTTAGCAAGACAATAATTAATATATTCAGCAATACTGTTCTTCCTGAGCTACATTTCATCACTAATTCAACCAAGTATTTCTGTTTATCATATTTCAGGCACATTCTCAAACACAAATTGAACAAACAAATCAATGAACTACAAAATTATGCTGCTAATTTACGTAATCAAAATTCAAAAGTTGCAGTCCAAAGCATAAAGATTGATAAACAAAAAACAACCTGTTCATTCCGCAATTCGTCTTCTTCCTCAAGAGCCTTGATTCTTCTTCGTTCTTCCTCTTCTTCTTCTTCGATTTGTTTCTTCCTCTTAACCTCCATGGCTTCCATCCACACCTTCTCTCGCTCCTCGAAAATCTTCCTTTCTCTTTCCGACCGCTCGGCCTCCTCTTGCTCGATCATCGTAATCTTCGCAAGCTCTAGAGGATCGTTGAGAATGGCGTCATGTTCCTCTCGCTCTTTAAGTGCCATCTCCTTCCTCGTCTGCTTTCTCTTCATCTTCTTCATCGCTTTCCTCTTCTCCTTCCTATTCATCATCCCTTTCTCTGCTCCCAAAGGCTCTGTTCTGGGCACAATACCTCCTCCTACTCCTTCTCCTTCTTTTGCCGCTGCTTCAGCCAGTGCCGACTCCATTTTCTACCACTTCATTTCAGGCCTGAATTTAGGGAAAAAGGTTGCTCAACGTTTGAACAAAAGGCAGGGCAAGGGCTTTGGAAGGAGAACTCAATTCGAAATCATTTGAGCTGTGCGCGTTGATCTGCCGTCAAGTTGTAGGAAGGCGATGGTTGTCGTGGTGGTGGGTAGGTTCAGTGAGATAGAGAAATGGGTTGTGGCGGTTCAGATCAGAAGGGCGACCAAGGATTTGGAAGAGCCGGTGGCAGGAGGTGGTAGGGACTTCTTGGAAGTAAAATAAAAAAGGAAAAGAGGGGATAGACTTGGGTTTAAAGGGTTGGCGGAAACAAAAGAGACAAGTAGGGGTGGGCGCGGTTCGGATTGGTGCGGTTTTGAGTGAAACCAAAACCAAAACTGCAAGTTTTTGCGTTTGGTTCGGTGCGGTTTTGAGGCTAAAACCAAAATGACACCAAACCATCTGGTTCGGTTCGGTTTGGTTTTAAACAGTTTTGGTTTGGTTTCATTGTTTGAAAAAGCTATTATGGTTACCTAGTTGTATCTCATTTCATCCAATTCAATAAAAAAGTTTTGGTGTTTGAGTGACAACTAATTTCTGACTAGATCTCCACAAGTATTTGAAGGTGAACAAACAAATAGTTTGAATTGAAAGCTACACCAGATTTAATAAACAAGTAACAAGTTTTGACTTTTAACATTAAAAACAAGTCCTTCGATAGCCCAAATGCAGCATTATTTATTATAGTCAGCTACCAAGCATGCAATACACATTCAATCTTAAGTCCAAGAGAGTTCACATCATGATGCAGGGATTGAAATCAACATACAGCCCAAAGTAATGCGAATATCTCCTTAATCAAGGGGGTGGATTCAATTCGTGTAGGTGTGTGCAGTGGATATATAATTGTTTACAGTGGAGTCGATAGACCGAAAGCAAAATTACCATCTGATAGAAGAGATAAGATCACATCACAATCACATACGATTCAATTAACGAGAATAATTGAATGAATGCAGAGCAAACCCAATTCAGAAAACGATTAAAAACACTGCAGATCGAATTCAGTCCAAATTATGAAGCAAGCAAGCAGATACAACAGGTTGAATTGAAGAAAGAAAGTGCTGACCGAGGATCAGTTTCCAAGGCGATGTGGAGCGCTTGGTTGATGGCAGAGTAGAGGTTCAATTATTTGCTACCAGTGCCACGAACAATCGTTCGATCGCCGGCGGCGGTGGAGGAGGAGGAAGACTCAAATCCAAGCCCTTTAACCAATCCTCCAAATCTGCTCAGCACCATTTAATCACTGAAAACAGAGAGCGAGCGAGCTCAATCTCTTAGAATGGACGACTCAAATCCCCTTTTGATTCAAAACCCAACCCAAAACCTAACCCTAAAATTAATCTCAAATATATAAGTAAATTTAATTAAAACAAGTTATAAATCTAAGTTCTTACCATATTATAGCACTCTCAACTCTAGAGGCTAGGAGCTGGAATGAAGGGGAGGCCGGAGGGGAGACCGAGAGAGAGAGAGAGTATCCGGAGAGTGGAGACCGTGACCGAGGGAGAGAGTTAGATGATTAAAGTTGAGCAGTCCAGTCTAGAAGAAAGAAAAGATAGAGATTACGTGGCCATGTTACGTTGTGTTTGGATCCATACTAAATGTATAGATTCAATGAAATTACCAATTAGAATTTGACATTTAATAAAGTTATGCGATTTCTGTTTCAGATGGCCAGAATCGAAACTAAACCGTTTTTCCTTCATTCAGTTCGATTTCAAATTGACATTATTTTAAAATCACAAAATCAAACCGTTTGATGCAGTTCGATTTGGTCCATGATTCGGTTTCTGTTTTTGGGTTTAAATGCCCACCCCTAAAGACGTGAAGGGAGGAAGCTCTTGGGGCTTGGGGGATGGAAAAGGCGAATAAAGAAACAAAAATAAACAGCTCCAGCCCACCAGCCACATCCCCTGGGCGATGAGCCCTAGAATCCCCCTCCCTAAAAAAACAGCTCCAGCCCACACCAATCCACTGGGCTCCAGGAGAGCCCGACTTCTCCTCCAAGCTCAAATCGACATGCCCAGCGCGGCAGCGCCTGTGCTATGTAAATACCAGGCAGACGTCACGGTTACATTAGCCATAATTTTAAATTACTAAAAAACTATAAAAAATGGTAAAAAATATATATATTAAAAATACAAAAAAATTTACATAACCTTTGGTTAAACATCATATCTAAAATTAAAAATTAAATTATCTTTAATTATTTTACTAAAAAATAATAAATATACTTTAATACCAATAGCCTGGGCTATTCAGTTAACGGTGGAGATGCACTTTGACAGTTACTATTCACTAAAGGCAATTGTTCACTTGGTGATTGAGTTGCCTATAACCCAGAGACACCTTTTAAGGGTGGAAGTGCTCTAAGGGAGTAAGGAGTGGGCTAAGCCTCACAATCGGCTAGCAATAATGTGGTTCAAATTCGTCTTTGGAGAGAATCAAACCCAAGGTTCTAAAAATCGTTAAGTGCTAGTCGGGCGATGTGCTGGGGCCTAGGGCCTAGGTGGGCTACGTGGATTTAAGTGAATTTAGTATATTTCGTATAAATGTAAAAAATTATACTTGCATTGGAAATTTAAGAAAGATAAAATACAAATAAAACAACACATTAATCATAAGTACTATAATAACTATTAATTTACTACTAGCCTCTCCACATGCACTAACGTGCGTGCGAGAGACATTTTTGCTTCACGGGTGCTACTCGCCCCAAAGATGTGTTGTTTTAGATATTCTTATATTTATTAAGTGATTATTTTATAAATTGTGGTTGTGTGTCCATCACAACAATTTCTTATTATTTTCAATCATCTAGCTTAGTCTTTTTGCACCCACTCATTGTACAGAAAAAATGAAATTTATGAATTGCACCATAACCATTCCATATATATATATATATATATATATATATATATATATATATATTATATATATATATATATATATATTGCTTGCTGATTATTATGGTGTCATTTTTTTTTGTTTGGCTGATAGAATTTGTGTGACATCCCACATCGCCCAGGGGAGCGATCCTTAAATGTATATTCTCATCCTACGTAGCACGAGGCCTTTTGGGAGCTCACTGGCTTCGGGTTCCGTAGGAACTCCAAAGTTAAGCGAGAAGGGGGCTTGAGCAATCTTATGATGGGTGACCCACTAGGAAGTTGCTCGTGAGTTCCCAAAAACAAAACCGTGAGGGAATGGTAAGCCCAAAGCGGACAATATCGTGCTACGGTGGTGGAGCGGGCCCGGGAAGTGATCCGCCCCGAGCCGGGATGTGACAATTTGGTATCAGAGCCTAACCCTGGCTGTGGTGTGCCGACGAGGACGTCGGACCCCTAAGGGGGGTGGATTGTGACATCCCACATCGCCTAGGGGAGTGATCCTTAAATGTATATTCCCATCTCTACCTAGCACGAGCCCTTTTGGGAGCTCACTGGCTTTGGGTTCCGTAGGAGCTCTGAAGTTAAGCGAGAAGGGGGCTAGAGCAATCCTATGATGGGTGATCCACTGGGAAGTTGTTCGTGAGTTCCCAAAAACAAAACCGTGAGGGAATGGTAAGCCCAAAGCGGACAATATCGTGCTACGGTGGTGGATCGGGCCCGGGAAGTGGTCCGCCCCGGGCCGGGATGTGATAATTGGTATCAGAGCCAATCCACTGGCCGGAAATGTGCCGACGAGGACGTCGGGCCCCTAAAGGGGGTGGATTGTGACATCCCACATCGCCCAGGGGAGCGATCCTTAAATGTATATTCCCATCCTACATAGCACGAGGCCTTTTGGGAGCTCACTGGCTTCGGGTTCCGTAGGAACTCCGAAGTTAAGCGAGAAGGGGGCTTGAGCAATCCTATGATGGGTGACCCACTGAGAAGTTGCTCGTGAGTTCCCAAAAACAAAACCGTGAGGGAATGGTAAGCCCAAAGCGGACAATATCGTGCTACGGTGGTGGAGCGGGCCCGGGAAGTGATCCGTCCCGGGCCGGGATGTGACAATTTGGTATCAAAGCCTAACCCTGGCCGTGGTGTGCCGACGAGGACGTCGGACCCCTAAGGGGGGTGGATTGTGACATCCCACATCGCCTAGGGGAGTGATCCTTAAATGTATATTCCCATCTCTACCTAGCACGAGACCTTTTGGGAGCTCACTGGCTTTGGGTTCCGTAAGAACTCCGAAGTTAAGCGAGAAGGGGGCTAGAGCAATCCCATGATGGGTGACCCACTGGGAAGTTGCTCGTGAGTTCCCAAAAACAAAACCGTGAGGGAATGGTAAGCCCAAAGCGGACAATATCGTGCTACGGTGGTGGATCGGGCCCGGGAAGTGGTCCGCCCCGGGCTGGGATGTGACAATTTGGTTTCATGAACTAAACTATGCTTGGTCATTATTATCACTTTGGTAATTATTGATTAACAAAAATAAATAAAGTTCATTAGTGTAGTTAGAATTCTCTTATATCCATTAGTATTTTTTTACCCATATATATTGTACATGAAGAAAATCAAGAGTTGGGTTCCTTAGTCAATAAGGGATTAAAAATGGTGGATATCATTTTCGTTTACTATGATAATGGTGGTATCGTTATGTATGCCATATTGTCATGTTCGTTGAAGAATCTAGCAGCATATATTACATCCAATTTGCACATATGTGAGTAATCTGTCATACAATTTTTACTTTTTTTTACTTTAAAACAACGACAAAGATAAAATGGGAAAACATAAACGATTAAAAAAATCTGAAAATATGACATGTAATTTCATTTCTAAATACATGCTGATAACATTTAATGTCCTTAAATCAAAATTTTCAGATTCATAAGTTTTCAGTCAAAGTTATAGGCTAATTAGGAACTCCTACTTTATGAAGCAAAGCAAAATATGGACAACATATACATATGTAAACATAGCGTCTATGAAATTAAAGACATGTTTGCCACCCATTTGCTTGCACTTGATGCTTTAGATTTTTATGGTTAATCTACAAGCAATGATGATAACATAAGAAGTCTAACTATAATGCACAATCCCAAATATAAGGGTTGCAAGCAATTTAACCTAAATATCTTTAACTTTGACAATTTTCTCATGACAATACTTTTACTCTAGTTACTTTTAGAATACTTAAAGATAAATCATTTGTCAAGTTTGAGGTAACAAATTGTAATCATGTTTACAAAATTAAATAGTAAGAAATGTTACCTTAATCATGTACTTCAACCTTTGTACTTTGAGATGGGTGTGATGTTTGTAAAACTGACAAAAAATGCAATTTTATTTCTATTTGAAAATTGAATGCAATTTGAACTTATAGTTGCTTCCCTATGAAAATAAGAGAAGACTTACCGTATTTAAAAAAAGTTGTTTAGCCACTATTAATCTTTTTCCTGTACCCATAAATTGTTTTTTTTTTATAATTTGACATAATTAATTTGTAGATTTTTTTTGTTAATTTTATACTTTGAGATAATTAATTTGTAGAATGATATAGAGAATGCCATTAAAAATAAATAGGTAAGAAATGGTGTTATACCTAATTTGTTGGACTTTATTCCAAATACGTATGATGAGAGTAGTTGTTGAAGATTTTAATTCTTCTATAGCCTTTTTCATGCGCCACCTATATATTGAAGGTATACATAATGTTATAATTTCTTGTAACAAATTTAATAAAGAATTGAGAATACATACTGCTCATGCTTATTCTTTTTCCACTCTTTGAGAATCAGTTGGCTTAGATCAATAGTTTTTATTCTGACAGATATTCCTTGGGATCATATCAATAGGTAGTTCCTTCTTCATTTTTTGTGGGTATTCTTGTAAATATCCTGATAATGAAAACAAATATGTTTTTTAAATAGAGTTGTTATTCCCATCCCAATGTCTTATCTTCCCACCCACAATTTTATGAAATTTTTAATTACAAATTTGTCAATTTGTAAAATGACTAATAAGGACCTTAGTTACCCCCTTTTGCATTATTTATTTTTTAATAAAAAAGAAAAAAGAAAAATTCGGGCTTGATAACTCTCACGCTATGTTTAGACGACTTGTCTCCCTTAAACCCTAACTCATATTTCTCATCTTCTTTCATTTAGAGAAAGCAAAAAGAATGAACTTAGAATATGATGTTTCTATGAAAGAAGTAGATGATTATGTTTTCCTCAAAGAGGTAAAAGATAATTTTATGTGGGTCATCTTGATTTGTTGACATCGTATAATTGAAGCATAGCTTTGTGACTTTTTATCTCTAATTATATATATATATATATATATATATATATATATATTAAGGGTTATTTTAGGAATAATAGTGGGTGGGAAAATAACATTTTAATTTCTTAACTTTTATAGTGGGTGTAAATATAACATGAGTGAGAAAATAAGACAACGGGGTGAGTCCCATAGCATACTTATAGCACATTAAGATAATCAAATTTGAAACTCATAATCTGACCAAAATTTTAAAAACGCACAATGAAGATTTCAAAGGAAGAATTTAAAAAAACTAAAATTGAGAAGCACGAAAATTGGTTTCAGTTTGATGTCCCTCCT